TACTACATCTTCCTGATAAATAAAACTTTTTCTCATAAAGAATCTGGCTATGTTTATTTTTCCATTGTGAGGGGCAAAAACTGATTAGCCTAACATATGATGCTTTGATTGCAGTTCTGAGCACTAGAAGGAAAGGACCAACCAAGGCTGCTTGGTACTCTTCAAAAGACATTTTTAGAAATTCTTATCTTATTAAGAAAGCGAACATTTTAAATCAAATAAGAGTCAAGCACCACAGTTTCATTTATTCTATGGACAATGTTTCAGGGAAGTCAAAATGTTTTGAGGGGGGAACATCATCTTCAGAGACTACCTAATATGGTACCTGGGAACTTGAAATGTGGCTGGTCTATATTCATGTGTTGTGTGTGTGTGTGCATGCTCAGTCATGTCCAATTCTTTGCAAACCCATGGACTGTAGCCCACCAGACTCCTCTGTCCATGGAATTTTCCAGGCAAGAAATATTTCCAGGCAAGAGTGGGTGGTCATTTCCCACTCCAGGTGGTCTATATTCATATATGACATAAATACTACAGATCCCTTGGTTTTGAAGCCTTAGCGTGGGGAAAAAAAAAATCTCATTAATAATTTTTATATTTTATAGATGATATCTTTTATATTTAATGGTGAAATAATATTCTTGGTCCATTAAGTTGTCAAAGTGAATCTTACCTGTTTCTCTTTTTAAATGTGGTGATTGGAAATTAAAAATGACACCCGTGGCTCCCATTTTATTTCTCTGGGACAGTGCAGCTGGAAGGGGATGAGGTTTTGTTTACTTTGAGACATTTATCGGCATGTGTGAGCACCCCAGTCAGGTTTATCACAGCTTAGGAGCCTGGGAAATTTGACTCTGAATCTTCTAGTCATTTCCCCAAACAGGCATCCAGTGTTGTGTTTGAATTTTGGTTCCTCCAGCCAGATATTACCTAGAAGGACCCATCCCGACTTATTCTCTGCCTAAACGGCCCCCACAGGCCCTCTGGGAAACTCCCAGGTTCTGTAGAGTCTTGCCAGGAAATAATTACAGGTGCGCAAAGACCCTCCTGCTTTATGCACTTAGTCATAATTATTTACCTTTACCAAGCACCTGAGGTGCAATGGGAGATGAGTGGAACAGAGAGAAGCCTCGGCAAGCAGATCACCTTGAAGTTGACCTGTCAGCCAGATTTCACAGCACCTGCTGTACCAGCCCGAGGGGCTGCGATTCATTCCTTGGGAAAGAGAGCTGCAAATAATTCTGTCTCCAGGCCATGGTCCAAATCCTTGCCGCTCTCTCCAAGCTTCTGAAAGACAGATTAGAAGCCTCTACAGAGCAGGGGAATTTTTTTTCCAGGGAGAGTTTTCTACCTGAGTTAGCTTTTCTGACACCTTCAGGCGGTCTCTAAGATTTTGGTCTTTTAATACCCTCCCTTCACACCCTACCTTCACACATATACATGTAAATATCGAAATCCACATTCGAATGTACTTGCTCTTCTAGTCCCCTCGAGTCACGGTCCATGAGTCATCTGCTCCCCTTCCCAGGCCCTCTGGAGCAGGGACTCTTGGATTGAAGGCAGTGGGGAAAATCCCGATAAATCAGGTGTTTCTGCCCATTTGCATAAACTGGGCACCTTGCCTGCCTAACCCACAGGCTGAATATTGCTTTGGAAGGAGAGAAGATGCATTTATTAAAGGGAAGGAAAAATTAGTGCTTTTTCATTAAGGTCAGAAGATTTTTTGAGATTGGATCAGCTAGCCGGGTGCATGACCAAGTTTCTTGGCTTCTTGGAAGCAGGAAAGTGTTTGAAAAATAATGGAGCCCTTAGTCCTGTAAGTAAAGACCCATTTATCTTGGGAATTTTTTTTAAAAAGTGCTGGCAATGGAAATTTTCCGATGAGATGCATTTCTTCTCGCCTGAGTATCTTGAATGCCTGCTGGATTTGTCTCCACGCTAAGATACTTGGGCTTGCAAATCTGTGCTTTTCAAGGTGAGGAGATGAGAATAAAAAAAGTCTGTGAGGAGTATTTTTGGGAGGGCCAAAAACAGGAAGCAAATTGGAACCACAGCATGTGGGGCAAGGATACTGGATTTGGGGAGGATGTTTGCTTATTTGGACTGAGAGCAAGTGTCCCGTCCCACCCACTGCCAGGAGCTCTGTGCTTGGTTAACATCCCGTGGAAACCAAGGTTGTCTTTGGGACTTGGTGGGACTGGGTTATTTTTCTCAGCTTAAAATGTTTTTTTATGGTTACCCTCAGTACTCCTTTCTGTTTTGGGATATTTTCATATTTTTTATTGAAAAAAAAAAAAAAAACCCAGAATGTCTTGATTTTGAAAAGGCACATTCAGCCAAATAAGGTGCCAAGAATATAAACAAGGTTGCCTCAATATTTCATGCATCAACAGCCAATGTTCCCAGTATGAGCAAAAAAGTTTGAGAACAAGAAAGGAAGGAAAAGGCTCAGTCCTTGCTCTCTGGGTGTTTAAACACCTCCTGGTTCCTTCTCTTGACCTCTCTTAATGACTTTCACTTCTGTGGCTTTGAAGGGAGAGAACTCAGGTTGGGAAGAAGATGGTATGAGGTGTGCTGGTTATGGAATGAGGCGATTCAGGATGTGGGAGGACGGGGGATGAATGGGGGGGTGGAGAGTTTGTCTGTGAGGGCTGCTCCGGCAGTCTTGGTGACTGGAGCCCGTATGCACCCTTTCATGGCCCCCAGCAGCTCACACAACTGTGTTGGTGCCATCCCACAGGAGGGACCCCAGGGGACATTCTAGGACGCTCTTCATCAGCTTCGGAAGGTGGCGACTCTGAAGTCACAGGGCAGAATTTTACATCTAGAGAATCCCAAAGAGGCTGCCCATGGTAAGCCAATGGCGTGGGAAGCTCTTGTGTGGGCTCAGCCGTGGGCGCCATCTTGGAGTCCTCATTATCTGTGTTTCCCACACCCATCCAGTCCACTGAATCTCATCACTCTCTCCTGAATTGCCTCTATCTTCTGTCCCTTCCCAGCCTCGCCATGAAAACCCTTCCGTAGCTCCCCTTTGTACTTAGAGTAAGATCCAAACCTGAGGTAAAGCTCCTGCGATCCAGCCCGAGCCCCTCCTCTCCGGCCTCATCTTGCTCCTGCTTCCCTCTGCTCGCGCCTCTCCTGCCACGCTCTGTTCCGTTCCTTGAACCCTGGCCAGCAACTTCACTGCCTCAGTACCTTTGCACACACTCTTCCTGCTGCCGGGATACTGTTTTCTGCATCTTCTCATGGTTCCTTCACTTCTTTGAGGTCTCAGCATGAGTGGACCCTTCTCAGGAGGAACAGTTTCTATTCACCTCACTCTGAAGGGCTGGCAGCAGGCTTTGTAAAACACACAGAACCAGTTAAAACCGAGTGGTTTGGGATTTCTGGGTGAAAGGAGCTCTGTGGGTTCAAAATGTTCCTGGTGAACTTGCCAAGGTGGGAAACCTTACCGCAATACTGCTTGGCAGTTCTTTTTTGGTGACCATGCAGTTTTGTGTTCATCTGAGCAGAGGGCTGGGAAAGCAGCGCCCAAGCTGCTGGTGAACGAGGGTGGCTGTGCCAGGGGACGGGTGTGTGGCAGCCTCGATCCAGCCCAGCTGGCAGCACACACACATTCACAGTGGCTCTAGTCTCGTCCTAAAGCTCTGACTGGCTTCTGGTTTGTTATTGGAAGTTGCCCTGATGATTCCCTTTAAATAGATCCTAAGCAAACCTCACAATTTGTTTTTCTTGAAATGGTCCTGAGAGGTGCTTTCCAAGAAACAAGGGGGAGAAGAACGAATTCACAGTGGTGACTTTGAGTCTGGAGAAGGCAGTCCAAGTGGAGGGGAAATCAGTGGCTCACTCCCAATGGCAGAGCCTTTCCTCGTGGCCTAGTGTGTGCGATGTTGAAGAAATGGGCTGCGGCGTGGGAAAGAGGCAGCGATGACGGGGATAATTTGAGACTGCTTCTGCAGCATCCTTGGGCAGTCCTTCTGGTACCCCCTGGGGTATAGGGTGGTGAAGGGGTTGTATTCATTTCCTAGGGCTGCTGTAACAAATACCAGAAACTGGGTGGCTTAAAGCAACAGAAGTGTACTCTCTCACATCTCTAGAGGCCAGAAGCCTGAAATGGATGTGTCACAGGACCATGCTTCTTCCATAATCTCTACGGCAGAAGACTTCCTTTCTTTTTCAGCTTCCAGGGGATCCTGCCCATTCTTATCTTACTTGCATCACTCCAATCTCTTCCTTCCCTGTCACATGACCTTCTTTCCTCTAACAAGGGGGAGAAGAACGAATTCACAGTGGTGACTTTGAGTCTGGAGAAGGCAGTCCAAGTGGAGGGGAAATCAGTGGCTCACTCCCAATGGCAAAGCCTTTCCTCGTGGCCTAGTGTGTGCGATGTTGAAGAAATGGGCTGTGGCGTGGGAAAGAGGCAGCGATGATGGGGATAATTTGAGACTGCTCCTGCAGCATCCTTGGGCAGTCCTTCTGGTACCCCCTGGGGTATAGGGTGGTGAATGGGGTTGTATTCATTTCCTAGGGCTGCTGTAACAAATACCAGAAACTGGGTGGCTTAAAGCAACAGAAATGTACTCTCTCACATCTCTAGAGGCCAGAAGCCTGAAATGGATGTGTCACAGGACCATGCTTCTTCCATAATCTCTAGGGCAGAAGACTTCCTTTCTTTTTCAGCTTCCAGGGGATCCTGCCCATCCTTATCTTACTTGCATCACTCCAATCTCTTCCTTCCCTGTCACATGACCTTCTTTCCTCTGTCTCTGTGTCCAAATCTTTCCTCTGTCTCTGTGTCCAGATCTCTGCGTCCAAACCCCATAAGGGCTCTCCTTATGAGGACACAATTCACTCAGCTTAGGGCTCATCTAATCCAGTGGTAAAGAACCTGCCTGCCACTGCAGGAGACGCAAGTTTGATCCCTGGGTTGGGAAGATCTCTGGAAAAGGAAATCGTGGCCTGCTCCAGTATTCTTGCCTGGAGAATTCCATGGAGAGAGGAGCAAGGCAGGCTATAGTCCATGGCGTCATAAAAGAGTCAGACACAACTTAGCGACTAAAGAATAACAGCAAATCTAGGAAGACATTGTCTGAACACATCTGCAGAGACCCTATTTCCAAATAGGACCCCATTCACAGGTATGGGGTTAGGACGTTGACATATCTTTTGGCAGGAGACACAATTTAATCTACCAGAGAAGGGGTCCCCTTGCCCCTCTGCAGGTGATCATAGAGCATGGACATGTCACAAACATTCAGAGCTGAGGAGAAAACATCCTCTCCAGTTTGAGTAAGTAAGATGTGATTTCAAAGACATGTACTTTGTAAAAACACCTTGAGATTTGGAGTAAGAGATTGCTAGTATTTAGGAAACCTAATTCATTCAAAGATTTCCAGATATATGTTACCTAGGTCATTGTGGCAGATTGAATAATGGACCTTTAGTGATGTCCACGACCTAATCACTGGAACTTCTGAATGCTCCTTTACATGGTAAAAGGGAATTTGCAGATGCAATTAAATTAAAGATTTTGAAGTGAGGCGATTACCTTGGGTTATCTGAATGGGTTCAATGTCATCCCAAGGGTCCTTATAAGGGAGAGGCAGGCAGGTCAGAGTCAGAGATGTGACCGGAGGAGCAGAGATTAGAAATGGAGGGTTTGAAGATGTTACACTGCTGGCTTGGGAATTGGGGGAAGGGGCCAGGAGCCAGGGAATGTAAGCTATCTTTTGAAGCCAGAAAAGGCAAGGAAATAGGTTCTCCCCTCAGAGGAAGGAAACAGCCCTGCTACTTGATCTTAGCCCTGAGACACTGATCTTTCACTTAAAAAAAAAAAAAAGATTTTGTTTTGATGTGGAACATTTTTAAAGTCCCTACTGAATTGGTTACAATATTGCTTCTGTCTTATGTTTTGTTTTTTTGGCCTCCAAGCGTGTGGAATCTTAATTCCCCGACAGGGATCGAACCCACCCCTCCCTATGTTGGAAGGTAAAGTCTTAACCACCAGGCCACTGGGAAGTCCCTGATTTTTCACTTCTGACAAATGGATTTATCTTATTGTAAGCCACTGGATTTGTGGTCAGTTGTTACAGCAGCCACAGAAAACGAATACCGTCACATAGCCCAGTTCAGTGTCTTGTACTAATTTGACAAACTATCCCTCTGTCTGTTGTTTGTGTTGACTAACATCTAGAAGATTATCTTGCATGTGGAAGACACTTAGGAACTATTTGTTGGATGAATACATTGAGAGCTTATTATATATATATATATACATACACATATTATAGGATGCTAGATCCTGGATACATCACTGTCTTCATACCTGTGAGTATAGAGATGAAGTGGATATTAAACAAATACCTGTACAAATAAAGCATATGTAGATTATGTGGCAAGAGCTATGACAGAGAGCTCCAGGAAATGATGACAGAGAGAGCAAAGGGCCCTAACTTAGATCCAGGGATCAGGCAAAGCCTCCTGGGTGCACAATTGAAAGGGGGACAAGACATACTTTCTCTCGATTCCAGTTTCAAAGACAGAAACTTTCTCTGCATCAGGAAGTGATTTGACTGAAGCTCTCATGGTGTCCATTATTTTTCTTTAATGGTGTGATGCATGTGCTAAGTTGCTTCAGTCATATTTGACTCTTTGCATCCCCATGGACTGTAACCCACCAGGCTCCTCTGTCCATGGGATTCTTCAGGCAAGAATACTGGAGGGGATTGCCATGCCCTCCTTCAGGGGATCTTCTTGACCCAGGGATAGAACCTGTGTCTCTTATGTTTCCTGCTTTGGCAGGCAGGTTCTTCACCACTAGTGCCACCTGCAATTAATGGTGTGAGGTTATTATTTATTCACAGAAGGACTCTGGAGTAGGCTAAGCCTGGCTCTGAGCTTCGGGGGGTGGTGCATTTTTATCCTCATTTTGGGGTTAATGCAGTGATCACCCTTCAATTCAACTCCAGGCCTCCCCACATGCCATTTACTCTCTGGCTAATAAAGGATGGTCTCATTGGTACTCTGCAGGGGTGGGAACCAAGTGAGGATGACAGGATGGGAAGAAGGACCACATCTCCCTCTCCACTGCCTTCCTGAGTCTTGGGCACGCCTTATCTGGGCCGCTGACACTTTCTGAAGTGGAGCTAGAGCCCAGGAATAGATGAACCCTCATCAGCACCTCTGTATGAGGGAGGGGGACACAGCTGGGGAGGTGATACCAAGCAAGGCAGAATTCCTACACCCAAGCACTGGTGATGTGCTGGAGAGGTGAATGCAAACACGCAGAATATGAATCCTGGAGAGTTATCACCGAAGCATGAAGTGAGACTCAACAAAGTTTGCCCAAGGAATTTAGGGGGACAGAGAGGGGGTCTGGAAGGAGGCTGCTGCTGCTGCTAAGTCGCTTCAGTTGTATCCCACTCTGTGCAACCCCATAGACGGCAGCCCACCAGGCTCTTCTGTCCACGGGATTCTCCAGGCAAGAAAACTGGAGTGGTCGCCATTTCCTTCTCCAGGAAGGAGGCTAGCAGACATCATTTCTTTTTTTAAAAATTAATTTATTTTAGTTGGAGGCTACTTATTTTACAATATTGTGGTGGGTTTTTTTTTTTTTTGCCATTTAGTGACATTGATTAGCCACGGGTGTACATGTATGGATGTGAGAGTTAGATTATAAAGAAAGCTGAGTGCCGAAGAATTGATGCTTTTGAACTGTGGTGTTGGAGAAGACTCTTGAGAGTCCCTTGGACTACAAAGAGATCTAACCAGTCCATCCTAAAGGAGATCAGTCCTGGGTGTTCATTGGAGGGCCTGATGTTGAAGCTGAAACTCCAATACTTTGGCTGCCTGAGGAGAAGACCTGACTCATTTGAAAAGACCCTGATGTTGGGAAAGATTGAGGGCGGGAGGAGAAGGGGACGGCAGAGGATGAGATGGTTGGATGGCATCACCGACTCAATGGACATGGGTTTGGGTGGACTCTGGGACTTGGTGATGGACAGGGAGGCCAGGTGTGCTGCGGTTCATGGGGTCGCAAAGAGTTGGACATGACTGAGCAACTAAACTGAACTGAACTGAACTGTACATGTATCTGCCCACCATGAACCCCTCTCTGCCTCCCTCCTCATCACCCCATCCCTCTGGGTTGTCCCAGAGCACTGAGAAACCACCATTTCTTGAGAGTTTTCTATGTGGCTGGCCCTGGTTAGAAGCTAGACATATGGGGACTTCCCTGTCAGTCCAATAGTTAGGGTTCCAAACTTCCACTGCAGGGAACATGGGTTCAATACCTGGTAGAGGAACTAAGATCCTGCATGCTATGCTGTGCTGTGCTTTGTCGCTTAGTCATGTCTGATGCTTTGCGACCCATGGACCCACCAGGCTCCTCTGTCCATGGGATTCTCCAGGCAAGAATACTGGGGAGGGTTCCCATGTCCTCCTCCAAGGGATCTTCCCGACCCAGGGATCAAACCCGTGTCTCCCACATTGCAGGTGGATTCTTTACCATCTGAGCCACCAGGAAAGCCCTGCAAGCTATGCAATGCAGCCAAAAAAAAAAAAAAAAAAAGAAAGAAGGAGAGAGAGAAGCTGGACGCACAGCATTTCCTCCATCCTGGAAACAGCACCGCCCCATCACTGTTATCGCCTCTGTCCTTTCAGGTGAGTCTCAGAGGTGCAGTCACTGCTTATCCAGCTTCAATAGCTGCTAAGATCTGAGTACCATCTGCTTACATCCACACCCGGGCTCTCACCACCGTGCGGAGGGTGGATTTGTGGGAAAGATAGTGATCAGGGTTCCTCCTCCCGCCCCCGTCCCACTTATCCACACCTAACTTTTCTTAGAGGAGTGTTTCCTGGCTCAGAAGGGAGCCGAGCCCTGGCAAGTTCGGAGCTGGCCCTGAGTGCTCTCGGGTGCCTGGGGTCATAGGACCTAGACTGTCCATTTTAGGTGACTCCCAGGAAAGCTTCTGAGGTTGAGCCAGCCCCTGCTGACTGCAGGGAGCTTGCGCCCTCCCCCTGCCCTTCAGGTGGGAACACTGCCTGCCCCCTCCGGATGTGAACCTGAAACCCTCCTCTGGGCGCAAAGCCCCTGGAGCACAGTAGCACCAGGGCCTGGCGTGCCAGAAGCTTCTGCAGACAGCCACTTGCCGCCTGCCAACCAGCAACCCCGAGCTCCCCTTCCCCACCCTCCCGGTCCTGCCTTATCAAGTGGGATCTTGTAGGAATGGCTGGCACTCTGGCAACCATGGGGGAAACACCTTAGTCAAACAAAGGCTCTTGGAGCTTTGGTGCAGAGAGAAGAATTAGCCCCTGGCTATGGCCTTCTGACAGCACTTGCTCAAGCTTTTACAGGGGAGCCAAACACCCTCCTCCTCAAGGCCCTCCCATGGCCTGCTGGTGAATCATTCCCCCCAAGCACCAGTTTGAGGGAAGAACTTGGCCCCAAGGTGAAATGGCAGCTGAGAAGTAAAGAGGTGGGGATCTGTCTTGGAGCTGGGCCAAGGAATGTGCGGGGTGGGCACCACCCCCAGCCTGCACTTCATCATCCTGAGCAACCTTCCTCTGCCACCGGGCAGGAAGTACCCCCACCCCCAGGAGGCAGAGGGGAAGGGAGTTGTGTTCCGGAAAGACCGGGAGGCACCAGTGTCTCCCCACTTGACTAGGGAGGCAGGACCCAGACAGGAGCTTGCCTGGCCTTTGTTTAAACTCCCCTTGGATTCTGAGTTGGTCTAGAGGGGCTCATGCGGCCTCACTTCACTGCCTTCATTCCATCATGAACCAGCTTACCTCAAGGCCAAACCATGGCACAGCTGAGGGCCAGATGCTCACCACTTGGCCCTCTGAGGTATCCTTAGAGGTCTGTGTCTCCATGGCTGCCGCTGCTGCAGGCTCATCATAACCGGATATGCCAATGATGCTCACCTGGGGGTTTGTTGCTGATGGTCTGGAACCTTGGGTGTAATGTGTGTGAGTGAGGATGTGGAACGGGATGGGGCAGGAGGTGCTGGGCAGGCCACAGATTAGCCCCAGAATGTCCTAGAACTTACCACCTCATCTGACATCGCTTGTCTACCTGCTCATCCTCTGTGAAGGACCATGAGCTCCATGAGGAGAGAGGCCAGTCTCATTTTTCTTTGGACCTCCAGCTTTTGCAATATCCCCACATATCCATAAATATTGCTGACTGCATGATGGATGGTTTACAATGAAATTGTTGAACACAGTGTTGTTGGGGCACCACTAGCTTGTATCCTTTGCATAGTAGGGAGCGTTTAGCAGTGATGATAACCAAGCTGGAGGTCAGCCAGGTCAAAAAGGTGTGGACATCTACCAGGTCAGAGTTGTGTGTTTCACGTGGCTCTGTTTACCTCTGGAATAACAGCAATATCAGTGAATTACCCCACACCAGGTCCTACACTGGAGAAGGAAATGGCAACCCACTCTAGCATTCTTGCCTCAAAAATCCCGTGGACGGAGGAGCCTAGTAGGCTACAGTCCATGGGGTCGCAAAGAGTCGGACACGACTGAGCGACTTCACTTTAGGTCCTACACTGACTTTTCATATTTGTTTTTTTTTTTTTTAATTTTAATGAATTCGTTTCTTTTTTGAACAAGCTCTTTATTTCTCTTTAAATTTCAATTTATTTATTTTTGCATGTATGCTTTCTTTTAAAAATTTCAATGAATTAACTTATTTTTGCACATGCTTTTCTTTTAAATTTTATTTATTTTTGATATGCACTTCCTTTTAAAAATTTTAATTATTTTCTGCACGTGCTCTTTCTTTTCTCATTTTCATTATTATTTATTTATTTTTGCACATGAAATTTCTTTTTGAATTTTAATTAATTTTTGAACATGTTCTTTCTTTTTTTAGTTTGAACTTTTTTTTATTTTTGCACATGCACTTTCCTTTTTAAATTTTAACTACTTTACTTATTCCATGGGCTTCCCTGATAGCTCAGTTGGTAAAGAATCCGCCTGCAATGCAGGAGACCCCAGTTCGATTCCTGAGTTGGGAAGATCCACTGGAGACGGGATAGGCTACCCAACACAGGCTCTTTCTAATCCTTGTGAAGACATCACAGGGTAGGTGTTACTAAATTCAGAGGAGGTGGGGGTAGAAGGAGCTATTTCAGGAGGAGGAAGTAATCAGCTGGCTCAAATGATGCCAGGTCACCTAAGGTGAGGACTGAGATTCAGCCCAGCTCCATGCAGCCCCAACATACTGTGCACTGTTTAGTCCCTCAGAAGTTGACCAGTGACAGAAGCTGAAGATTGAAATAAACAAACTAACAAAAATCACAAACCCCAATCCATAGTCTAGTTACTTAACACTAGGTTCTACTAAACCACTGCAGTGCTCCCCAGGCACAGCTGGGCTCCCATCAAGTTCTCACGACCTGACGTGCTTGCCACCCCACAGCAGGTGCCTTCCTGAAAACAGAATGGAAAAGCAATTATTCCAGAGATTATTATATCGTAATTGCCCTAGAGGACCTTCAAGGAAGCCTTTTGCAAACCTCCCCCCCCTTTTTAAAGAGAACTGTCACTCTCTAATTTCTCTGTTTTATAATACAAGGTGTGCAGATAATGAGTGAGTTTACCTGCCCTGGGATTTGACCTATATTAGAATATCACTGAGCAGCCCAGCACATGGTAGTGGAAGAGAAATTCTCAAAGTAGCCGGAACGAGGGGTGGGTTCAGCAGAAGTGACCATTGGAAGTGACCCCCAGAGAGGAGGGAATCTAGATCAGCCTTGGTTCCGGACTGGCCACATGATCTTAGGTTAAATCATGGATCACATTTTGCTCGTCTGTTAAGTGGGAATAACTGTGATTCCCATTACATGTACCTCACAGAGAAAGGATCTGGTTAAGATGTTGTGAAGGTATTTTGTAAAGTGGAAAACACATGTGTAAATGCCATTGAGTGCTGAGCACCATGCCTGGCACAGCATAAGGTGCAAATCATTGGAAACTGTTCTCAACTCTTCTTGTGCATTTTGCATGAAAGTGTGAAATGCAAGAAAAAGCTGAAACATGCTGGGAAGGGGTAAGGGGTAGTGAGCACATCCTGCGAGTCTGGGCTTATCCATCACTGGGAGACTTGCTATTGGTCCAGGTCCTGTTCTACAGAGGATTGGCTTCGAATTTCTGTAGATGGTGCACACAAATGTGGATTTCTCCCTTGCCTACCAGCATAGCTCCAATTAAAGTTTCTAATTCATTGGTCTTCTCATCCAAGGATGCTAAGGGATTCACTGCTCCACCAGTGAAACAAAATGTTCATCCAGCAACACATTGGCATCACAACCAGCATTGCTGCAGCCATTAGGATGGTTGGCAAGTCAACAAGTTGGTGTCACTACTGGGCCTCACCATTCTTGATGCCTTCTCATGATGGATGGTTCTGGAACCAAAAAATACACTCTCGAGGAGCTTGCTTCATCAGATCTGCCACAGGCTGCACCCTCTTTATCCCTTTCCCATTTGTAAACTGCCTGGGGTGATGCCTGCCTCTGAAGGAAATTCAGGTGACATTCCTAGGTAGTCTGAAACCTTGCATGAGCATCAGTGGTTCCCTTTGTTTCTTGCTATTGCCCTTTCTCCCTGCCCATTAGGTCCTATGCATTTTGTAGATTTTTCCTTCTCTGCCCAGCTTTGGATCACTCATTCACTAGCTCTTGTTCCAGAAGAGGTATGTGGTCTTGCTACTCACCTCCCTACTTAATTAGATATGACTGCTTACCCCTCGCCCCAATAGCCACACTCACCTTCTTCCATCGGAACTGAAAGTGGGCTGGGCACATGGCTGTCCAGTTAAAGACCCCATTTCCTAGGATCTCTTGCATCATAAGAGGGTCATAGGGCTCATTCCTGTAAATGGAGCTTGTGCTAAAGTGGTAGGTGTCATCTCTGGGCCTTTTGGGGGAGAGATTTGTGTCTCTAATTCTTCTGCTCCCCACACTTCCTTCCCCCTTGTTGGAAGGTGGACCTAGTGATGAACCATCTTGGACTAAATGGATGAGGACAGCATTCTAGATGGAAGGCACCTGGGTCTCTACATCAGAGCTCTGGACTGCTTTATACACACATGGAAATGTGAGAGAGACAGGAAGTTCCAGCTTATTTGAAACCTACTAATTTGAGGTTCTGTTAGAACCGAAGAACCTTTCTTCTCTTTACCTGACATAGGGGACTGTAGGTTCTCTGGGGACAGAGAGCATACTCTGCTCACCATTGGGTCACTGGGGCTGGCACGTTCAGTTCAGTTCAGTTCAGTTCAGTCACTCAGTCTTGTCCGACTCTTTGCAACCCCATGGACCGTAGCATGCCAGGCCTCCCTGTCCATCACCAACTTCCGGAGTCCACCCAAACTCATGTCCATTGAGTCAGCAATGCCATCTAACCATCTCATCCTGTCATCCCCTTCTCCTCCTGCCTTCAATCTTTCCCAGCATCTTTTCAAATGAGTCAGCTCTTCACATCAGGTGGCCAAAATATTTGCGTTTCAGCTTCAGCATCAGTCCTTCCAATGAACACCCAGGACTGATTTCCTTTAGGATGGACTGGTTGGATCTCCTTGCAGTCCAAGGAACTCTCAAGAGTCTTCTCCAACACCATAGTTCAAAAGCATCAATTCTTCGGTGCTCAGC